GTGCCTGAGGGGTGCGGGAGGGTGCCTGAGGGGTGCGGGAGGGTGCCTGAGGGGTGCGGGAGGGTGTGCCTCGGGGCGCGGTGGTGCGCCTGAGGTGCGCTCGGCCTGCGCAGGTGGAGCGCGAGATCGCCCTGCATAGCTGCCTTCGCCACCGCAACATTGTGGCCTTCCACGGGCACTTTGCCGACCGGGACCACGTGTACATGGTGTTGGAGTACTGCAGCCGCCAGGTGCCCCGGGGTGGGCACGGGGGTCCTTGTCCGCAGCCTGTGGCCACTCCTGCGTGCCTCTGTATTACCTGTTTCTCCCCAGCCCACTCCTGCCCATCTGCGTGGGCCCTTAAGGCACCTGCCCGCTCAGGCCCTCTTGAGTCACTGCTGTGCGTGGTGCCCAGTATCTTGGGCACAGGCCCGTGTCATGCCCGTCTGTGGTGACCTGGCCTCGCTTGTCTCTACTCAGGCTCCTCTGGGCACAAACAGCTCGCCTGTGCTCACGAGGGCCCTTCGGCGTCCAGTCCTGCCCTCCCGTGGCCCGGCTGAACTTAGCTGTGCCTTCGCTCACCCCCTGAAGTCACTTTGCCCACTTCAGAACCTCCGGCTCGCCTGTGCCAGGCATGCACCCACTTCCTATTCCCCTCTGAACCAAGCCCGACTGCCCCTTCTCAAACTCACCTGTGGCCACTGGCCCATCTCACGGTCAGCCATGCTCACCTCAGTCCAGCTGAAGTTTGGTCCTCCCGGGCTGGCCCTGTAGTCCCTATGCCACCTGGGCTCAGCTCACCTGTGTTGTCTGCCGCCGGCCACCTGCAGTCGCTGGCCCACGTGCTGGAGGCCCGGCAGACCCTGACGGAGCCTGAAGTCCGCTACTACCTTCGGGGCCTGGTCAGCGGCCTGCGCTACCTGCACCAGCGGCGGATCGTGCACAGGGACCTGAAGCTCAGTGAGCACCAGGGAAGGGGTGGGGGGCGCCTCTCGCTTCTGCCTCACACCAGGCCCCTCCCTGGCAGGCAACTTCTTCCTGAACAAGAACATGGAGGTGAAGATTGGAGACTTGGGGCTGGCCGCCAGAGTGGGCCCAGGGGGCCGCTGCCAAAGGTGAGGCCACGCCCGCTGGGTCGTCTCTCCGGCAGCGGGGCACAGGCTGGCCCGGAGTCCAGGAGGTCAGCCTTCCTGAATGCCCGTTACCCCTCCCAGAGTGCTCTGCGGTACCCCGAACTTCCTGGCCCCCGAGGTGGTCTCCAGGAACGGACACTCCTGCCAGTCTGACATCTGGGCTCTGGGCTGCATCATGTGAGCGGCACCCAAGGGCCCTTGGCCTGGCAGGAGGGCAGGACTTCCCAGGCGGGGCCGGGTACAGCAGGTGGGAACTGGTAGGTAAGGACAGGTGTACAGCGTCTGGGCAGAGACTGACAGGGACCGGGCAGGCGAGCACATACGTGACAGGTACCAACGGGAGTGTGCAGGTGTGGGGTCGGCGGAAACGCTTCCGGGTATGGCCAGGGCATGTGTGGCGTGTCAGTGCGAGTCAGTGCGAGGGAGGGCAGGTGCGGGCAGGTGTGGACAGGTGGCAAGTGCACAGGCAGGTCAGCACATGAGCGGAACCGGCGTGAATAAGCCAGAATCGGGTCGAGGTGTGCAGGTGTGTTCAGGTGTAGCCCAGGTGCAGGCAGGTGTAACGATGGGTGCTGGTGTCCTCCGAGCAGGCGGGGATGGGTAGGCAGGAACAGATGCAGGTCAGGGCTGGGTGGGGGAGCACGGAGCAGGGGTGTGGGGCGGCTCTGGTCAGTGTGTGCCAACCCGGGCCTCCGAGGAGTGAGCAGGTCCCCACCCACCTAGGTACCTGGTGCTAACTGGTGCGCCCCCCTTCGTGGGGGCCCCCCTGTCCGAGATGTACCAGAACATCCGTGAAGGCCGCTACCCTGAGCCTGCCCACCTGTCGCCCCATGCACGCCGCCTCATCGCCCGCCTGCTGGCGCCGGACCCCGCCCAGCGGCCCAGCCTGGACCACCTGCTGCAGGATGACTTCTTCACGCAGGTGTGTGGGGTCGGCATCCCGCCAGCTGAGGCCCCCCGCACCCCGCGCCCCGCCTCCTGGCAGGCGCTGAAGCCGATGCCCGTTCCGAAGGGCTTCACTCCAGACCGGCTGCCGCCCCACTCCTGCCACAGCCCGCCCGTCTTCGCCGCCTGCCCGTCTCTGGGCAGGCTCTTCCGGAGGGCGGGCCAGCTGCTGCTGAGCCAGTGCCGGCCGCCCTGTGAGTAGCCACCTGCCGCGCCCGCCTGCTTCCACCTGCCTGGCACCTGCTGTACTTCCCACCTGCTCTGCTCTCCGTGCCCCCGCGTGGGGCTGGGCTCTGGCCCTCCAAAGCCCCCGTGCCTCCTCAGGCCCCTTCACCCCGAGCGAGGCCTCGGGTCCAGGAGAAGATGGTCCCGACTCTGGCTCCATGGAGTTGGGTGATGAGGTGAGAATGTGGGGTGGGGGGTGGGAGGACACATGGAGGGCACCCCTCGGTCCCGCCAAAATCTCCTTGAGCCCCTGAAGAAGCCTCCAGGGCCCCAGGCGGGATCCTTCCCTCCGGCATCAGCCTGACTCATGGGGCTGGGCCCACCCCTCCGATGCCAGCTCTGCCCTGCGCTCCCCAAGGGCTGGCCTCGGGCCAGGTGGCCCTACCCACCACTCCTTCACCCTCGCATTTATTAAGTGCCTACTGTGTGCCTTTGAGATGGCCAGGGCTGCAGTCCAAGGGGAAACCAGGTCTTCGAGTGCTTGCTAGGCTGGGCGGAGGGAGAAGCCAGGGTCTCGGGAGGGGGAGGCCTCTCCAGGGTGCCGGGGCCACTGTCCACCGGCTGCTGTCTTCCAGGCCTCCCATTCAGAGAGTGGGGCCCCGAACCCCGAGGTCCCCGTCCACCTGCTCTCCCAAGGGACCCTCCGGAGCGGCCTGCTGGGTGAGCGGCCCCTCCCCCTAGGCCGGGGCTGTGGCTGGAGGGGGCTGGGGGGCTCTGGTGCCTTCCGGAGTCTTGATCCATCTTCTGGCCTTTCCTACCTATAAAGTGTGAACAAGGTCGGGAATCCTGGGTTTAAAAATGGGATTTCCCCAGAGGTGGGAGTTGGGGTGGGGCTGCTGGAGGGGCCCGGGCTGTCTGGCCTCCTCCACCTCCCACAGAGCTCTGTCTCCCAGGGCCCGAGGGGAGCGCAAGGCCGGAGGTGGAGGCCGCCATCAGGAACCTGCAGCTATGCCTGACGCCTGGTCCCCCGGGTAGGCGCCCAGGTGGCCGAGGGCCCCCTTCCGCCCACTTCCCGAGACCAGTGCCCGTCCTGCCCTCTGCTTCCGCCAGCCCCGACTCGGCCGACCCTGGCTGGGGGCTGCCCCCGGGGGACTTCCCGGGAGCTGTCACTTCCCCTTCGCTCCTGTCACCTCAGCTTCGCCCAGCCATGCAGCCACGGCCCCGCCTTGGGCCTGTCTGCCGTCCGCGGCAGCGGGAGCCAGCCCACCGGCGCTGTGATCAGTGGCCATCGCCTGTGCTTTGCTGAGTTGCAGATCTTTGCACCCATCACTCAGCAGTCCCCCCGCCCCTGGGGCACCCCAGATTTTCTACCAATGCCGTCTTTTTCTCTGCCAGGAGCTGGTCCACGACTCCACATGACATTCAGCATTTTATTTTTCAGTACAAAACTTTTAAAAAGATTTTTATTTATTTATGCATACAGGAGCTGGGGTACAGGCCAGAGGTGGGGGTGGGGGGTGAGAGGACTCACCAGAGTCGGAGCGGGGAGCAGAACAGGCAGATGGATGAAGTCCACCGCTGAGGGCAGCAGCGGGGAGACAGGTGGGGTCTGCTGCGCCCTGGGGGTCCCTCCCTGGCCAGGGGTCGAACTCAGGCCACAGGGGCTGGGGACAGCTTGATGGCGCTGAGACTTAGCCCCTGCGCCACCAGGGAGGCCCCACAAAGCTTTTTTTAATGAAATAAAGCAAAGTCTTATTTCATTAGGCTTAACTTTGGGGAGTTAAGTGATTCAGAATTGTCTCTAGGGGCAGCATGTGACCCCACGACCCCTGGATCCCCAAAAGACAAGACTTGGTTTTTCCTTCCTCTGACTGTTCTCTACGTAGCTTTCCCTGATCCTCCTCCCTGGCACCCCTGGGGCCCCCAACTCATCTCATCTCTGTGCCCAGTCACAGAGGACCCCGGGGAAGAGCAGCGGCCCATTCTCTGGGCCCCCAAGTGGGTGGATTATTCCAGCAAGTATGGCTTTGGCTACCAGCTGTCAGACGGAGGCAGCGGCGTCCTTCTCCGGGATGGCACCCACATGGCCCTGCGCCCCCCGGAGAGGTAAGTCCTGGGGCTCCCGTCCCTCCCCATTCAGCCTCCAGGGGTTTACTCAGCACCTCCTCTGCACGCCTATAGGCTCCTACTGCCTGGTGGGGGGAAATATTGCTAAACAAAGGAATGGCTAAGTAGACGCCAGGGCATGGAGCAGGTGTGACGCGAGACGGAGCAGGTGGAAGGCAGCTCTGGCCGCATGATTGTGGAGGGGCTTTATGAAGAAGCTGTGACTGGAAGGAGCCCACAGGGAACAGCGTTTGGTGCCTAGGGACCAGCACCGCAAAGTCTCAAGGTGGTGGGCTCGAAGCACAGGGAGGATGCGAGATTGGGGTTGGGTGTGGACGAGCAGGAGTGATACAGGGACCGGCGGTGAGGTGGGAAGGACTGAAGTAGTCGGGAGCGTAATGGCGGTGAGCTGGGGCGCTGGCGGGGGGACGAGGGGGCTGGGACCTGGGCAGAGTCTGTTGGTGGGGGGAACGGGGATACGGCCAGAGGGCGGTTTGAGGGCCAGTCTGGATGTCGGTAGACACGCCAAGGGACTGCTCATGTTCTGGAGTTCAGGGGAAGCTCTGGGGTGCGGATATAGGGAGGGGTCAGCCGCAGCTGGTCTCCCAAGCCCCAGTCCAAGGGGGTGCGGCTGGGTGAGGAGGCGCCAGCTGAGGCCCCGTGGCCCCACTGCCCTGTGCTTGCCTCAGCCAAGTCTGCTACGCGCCGGCCCGGGGGAGCCTGCACACGTTTGCCCTGAGGGATGTGCCCGGCCCGCTGGGCACCAAGCTGGCTGTCCTGCGGCTCTTCGCCAGCTACATGCAGCAGCGTCTACGAGAGGTGAGCGGACGGGTGCTGGGCTGAGCAGGCCTGGTGTCCGGCCGGGGCCTGCTGACCGGTGTGCCCACAGGAGGGGCACCTGGCCGCGCCGGCCCCCCCCGCGGGCCCCGGCCTCTGCCTGCTGCGCTACCTGGTGTCAGAGCAGGCCCTGCTGCTGCTCTTCAGTGATGGCACGGTGCAGGTGAGCACACGCCCGCTGTCCTGCTGCGAGCTTCCGGGGAGGGGGAGCTGGGAAGCGGTTGCCCCCACCCCCCCGGGCAGGGCTGACTCCTAAGGACAAAACACGTCCACATGAGGTAAAACAGAATGAGGGGTCCCAGTCAGGCGGCTCCAGTCAGTAGCCTCGTCCGTCGTCACGGGCCGTCATCCGTGGCCTCTCCCGGCTCGCAGCCCTCGCCCGTCCCGCACGGCTTCCGCGGCAGGCGCGTCCAGGACTCCGGCCGGGGCGTTTGCACTTGTGTAAAGGTGCCGGTTACAGCTCCTCTGTGTCCAAGCCCGCGGTGGTGTCTGCCTCGGCTGGCCCTGGCCCGTGCTGGGCCCCAGCGGCCAGTCCCTGACGGCCCGGGGGCAGCGCTCCGGGAGGGGGCTGCGGGTGGGCGGCGGGGCCTCCCTCTGGCCCAGGCTCCGTCCGGGCAGCGGGTGTAGACCTCCCCGCGAGCCCAGGTGGGGGCTCAGGCGCCGGCCTTCTCCCAGGGCAGCGTGGACCCCCCCCCACCTCAGGCTCTCCTCCCTGGGCAGGTCAGCTTCAGCGCAGACCGGGCCCAGCTGGTGCTGCGTGGGGGCGGCCGAGGGCTGCAGCTCACCTTCTGGGAAGGGGGCCGGCCGGGCCGCTCCCACCCTGCGGGCGTCTCCCGAGGCCACCGCCAGGCTGCAGCCGCCCGCCGCCACCTTCGTCACGCCCTGTGCATGCTGTACAGCGCCTAGCGCTAAGGCCGCTGGGCCTCGGCTCCCGAGGGGCGCCCCGGCTGGGGCGCGGGGAGCGTGGCCTCCTGGTGGCTTTGCACCCAGATTCTGATGGGCTTTGTGCTTTTTTCATTAAATGGAACTTGACTGTAGCCTGCCATCAGCCTCTCTTTGGGGGGTCAGGGGAGATGAGCAAGGAGGGGCGTTCAAGCCGGGTGTGCATCTGGGGGTTGCTCCTCATAGGTGGGTCACAGAAATTAGTGGGGTTCTTCCAGGACAAAAATCTAAAATAGATAGCACTGACTTAAAGGCTGAGGCGCCGGGAGTGGGGGAGGGGCCTGTTGCCTAACTTGAAGGCCGAATGTGGAACCAGCAGCTCCGGGGTGTGCAGAATGGGTGGATACATGCAAGCAGCTGTAAGAAAGAGATGAACTTGGGCCTCGCTGGTGGCACAACAGGTTAAAGCGCAGCACTGTGAGTCTGTCCACGGCCGCTGCAGCACAAGTTCGATCCCCGGCCGGGGAGTGACCCCCAGGGCGCAGCAGACCCCTCCTGTGTCCCGCTGCTCCCCTCAGCAGTGGATTTCAGTGGATCTACCTGTTCTGCTCCCCACTCTGCCTCTGGTGGATCCTCTCACACCCCCACCTCTGGCCTGCACCCCAGTTCTGTGTACATAAATACATAAATATCTTTAAAAAAGAAAACAAAAGGGATGAATTCGGAAACAACAGGAATCAGAAGAGTCACGAATCTGAGGCTCCCAGGATCTGAGTCTGGCGGGGCAGTGGCTCCCGCGGGAAGCAGGAGGGCTGAGGCGGTGCACCTGTGCCGGGCAGCTGCCTGGAGGGCAGGTGAGCGCCCGCCCGCGCCCGTGTTCCTGGCGCTGAGCCCAGCTGCCCGGGGCGGGAGGCCCAGGCCCATCCTGTCTCTGGGCTGCTTTGCTGATGTCCACCTGGGAAGGGGACACTGGTCTTCTGGGGTCCCTGGTAGAAGCGAGAGTGCTCTGACACCCGAAGACTGCTGTGTGGAAGATCGGGGTCCACCAGATGGGGGAGCGGTCGTCCTCAGGTGACAGTCAAGAACCTGAGACCAGAGAGGCTGTGCTGCGGGCGGGGACGGCGGTGGGGGGTGGGGTGGGCACGAGGCCAGAATGAGGCGCTCGGGCAGCAGCTGTGACCCTGAGGGAACTGGGCTCTGCCCCGATGGCCAGTGCAGCGGGCGACCGTTAAGTTGGACGCCTGACCGGGCCTCTGGGGAGGGGGGCGGTTTGCGCAGGGCAGGGGACGCTGAGGGCCTCTAACAGGGAATCACCCTTCACCCCAGCCCAGCACCTTCATTCCCAGTGTGGGGCTCCTGGGCTGTGCTTGGGGGGAGGCAGGGAGCCTGGGGTCCTGCAGGTCACTGTGTGAAGGCCGCTTCAGTGTCCCTGAGTCACTGCTGGGAATGCATCTTTTGTGGCTTAAGACATAGGGGTGTCTTTAAGAATGTTCCCCCAAAATATGTCATAAATATGTACAAGACAAGCTCACGGAAATGTGCACAAATGGGTACTTGTTGATATTACATGATCATTAATTTTAAAGTATGTATCATTATTGCTATTATTACGTAGTGCTGTGCTTTAACCCAGTGCACCGTCAGGGAGGGCCCTAAATTATTGTTTTAAATTTATTTTATTTATTTATGCACAAGAACTAGAGTGAAGGCCAGAGGCATGTGTCTGTGTGACAGAGAGAGAGAGAGGACTCACCAGAGACAGACTGGGGAGCAGAACAGGCAGGTCAACTGGAGTCCATTGCTGAGGGGAGCAGCAGGGAGACAGGAGAGGTCTGCTGCACCCCATGGGCCAGGGATCGAACTTGTGCTGCAGTGGCTGTGGAGAGCTTCCTAGTGGTGAGACTCAACCCCTTGCGCCACCACGGAGGCCCCATAATGCTTAAACCCTAAAGGCAGTTTCCTTTAGAATCAAGGAAGAAAAACAAGGAAAACAAAAATGACACCCCGGGGTGTGGGGGCTTCTGTGCCCACAGCACCTTGCACACGTGAGCCCTAAATGTCCCTGTGAGTGTCCTTCTACCGAGGCACAGTGCTGCCCACCGGGACCGTGGTGGCTGGAGGCAGGACTCTTGTTCAGGAGTCCTGGCCACCCTGCCGCCACCCTGTGCCGGGTGCCCGCCACAGGCAGGCCAGCACCCAGAGGGCTGTGCCACGCCCGCCCCAGTATCCACCAAGATCCCAGCCCGGGGTTCCCTCTGGGCCCTTCTCCAGTCACTACTTCCAGCCCATTCTACCAGCTGCATGCTGTGTCTGTGTCAATCTGACAGCCAAAACGAGGTTCCCTGGGGTCACCGCCTCCTGCCTCCTGTCCCTGTCCCTTTAGGGCGGTCCTGGGCTTTCCTGTCCTATAGCTTCTTTTTTCCTGTTCACGGAGGCTCCGCAGGGAAGAATCCAGCCACCAGCAGTCCCCGCCTGTCCCTCCTCGGGGTGCCAATGGAGGTCCCCCGCCTGTGTGTTACAGATCTGCCTGCTACTTTCACCCGAGGGTCTGGGAAGCGCTGTCATAGGGGCGGGGCAGGGAGACGATGGATGCCGGGGCTGTCACAAGCACACAGCCTTGAGTGGCCGCACGCGGGAAGAAAGACTTCTGGCAAAATGGAAGCAGCACAGGAGATTCCCCAGGGACCGGGAGAAGGGGTGTGAGTGGGAGAGCCAGCAGAGGGAGCAGGCAAATGCCAATGCCTGTCATTCCTTTGTCATTAAAGCAAGTCACTAAGGGCCTCCCCGTGGGCCACCGCAGCACTGTGAAGCCCTCAGCAGCCGCTGCAGCACGAGTTCGATCCCTGCCAGGGAGTGACCCCGGGGCGCAGCAGACCCCTCCCGTCTCCTGCCTGCTCCCCTCAGCAGTGTACTTCATTGATCTGCCTGTTCTGCTCCCTGCTCTGTCTCTGGGGAGTCCTCTTCCCCCTCCCCCCAAGCCTCTGGCCTGTACCCCAATTCTTGTATGCATAAATAAATAAATAAAGAGTCGGGGTGCCATCTACAGTGCCGCCATCAAGTGATGAATGAGCACACACAGGACCATCACTGGCCTTCAGAGGAGAGGAGGAAGCTGACTCTCACACCCAGGGGGAGGCCCTGAGCACGCCACTGGGGGCGAGAAGCCAGACACACGAGGCCACATACTGCAAGTCCACCGGCGAGAAACGTCCAGCAAATGCGCAGCCAGAGAGTGGGTCGTGGTGCCAGGGGCCAGGGAGGGGACGTGAGTGACCGCTGGGGACAGGTTCCCAGTGGGGTGCTGGGGAAGTTCTGGAACCCAACAGGGGCGGCCAGACATGCTCGAGCCATGCAGGCACGTGAATTTCACTTAGTTCAGAGAGGAGGAGGCTGCAGGCGAGGCTCCCTACGGGCAGCGGGGGGTGAGGCTCCCTCCGGGGAGCGGGGGTGTGGGTAAGGACTCCTCGGGCCCCTCCCCTCGTCCTCTCTCAGCCTTTGCTTTAGCTTTAATCCCAGCAGGCTCTCCGGCGTGTGACTGAAGTGTCCCTGGCTCAGGCTAAGCCCAGCAAACCCAGGAAATCAGCCGGGGGTGATTCCCACTAGACTAGCCTAAGTTCTGGGGTGAAGAACATGGGGCAGTGGGGTACATGCCCTCCCCCAGTTTCCTGGCAGTAGGGGGTATGGTGTTCCTGAAAATGGAGGAATGGGTGCTCACACCTGCCACCATCCTTACTAGGTATTCCATGAAAACGCAGTATTTTGTGTAAAGCTGTGGTGGGCAACAGCCATCTCCTCAGGCCCGCACCTGGCGCAGACCCTCTCTGTGGGCAGGGCTGCATGTAACCCATGGCCGCGACAGCCTGTGACTTCTGAGAGCTATAAAATACAGGGTCTCCACCCCCTCGTGTTGGAATTCACTCTACCTGACCCAGACCTTCAGACACTGCCAACCCAGCTGACATCTTAGCTGTGACTTGGTGAGGGACCCCAAGCCAAATTCTGAAATCCTGGCCCATCAGACCTATGATAAAGTGTTTATTGCTGTCTTAAGTTTGGGGGTGATTTTTTTTTAAAGATTCATTTTATTTATTTGTGCATGCATATATGTGAACTGGCACTGGCCAGAGGTGCAGGAAGTGAGAGGATGCACCAGAGACAGAGTGGGGAGCAGAACAGGCAAATCGACAAGGTACACTGCTGAGGGGAGCAGCGGGGAGACAGGAGAGGTCTGCCGCACCCTGAGGATCTGTCCCTGGCTGGGGATCGAACTTGTGCTGCACTGGCTGCTCACAGTTTGATAGTGCTGAGATTTAACCCCTGCAACAGCAGGGAGGCCCGAGTTTGGGGGTGATTTTGTTACCCAGCAAAAGCTAACTAATACACATATCCGGGCATTCCAGGGACCCAGACTGATTTCTGCCTAGAATATTCGTTTCTGGGGAGAAAAAGACAAAACATGCTCAGTGTGTATAACTGTGTATCGTGCAGAACGACCTACCTAGAGTGTTTATTTCCATCTTCTTGTGGGCGTAAGAGCAGCACCAATCTGTGAGAATCGCCCACGCCCTGAGCCCACGACGGTGGTTTATTAAAAATAACCAACCACAGAATACATTAATTTTGTAACCTCCCAGGCCGATTCTTATTTCTAGGTATAAGAACTTCAAGAGGTGGCAAAGCGCCCACACCGCCCTCACACTGAAAGTTTCTGGAATCTTCTTCAGCGAGGTAACTGTGGGACTCCGGAAATAAAATTACTAGTCTCCGTTTTTGGGTTGCCTACAAGGGTTGGCGCTTCAAGATGATAATGAATCCAGACCTGGTCAGAACTTTACTTTTTTTTTTTTCGTTTGAGGAAATCACCGACGGCATATTAAACTTGAAGAACGAGGGAAAACTCAGCTTTGCTCAATTCTCCCTTGTTCTCCACAATCTGAAGCCTGAGTCCTACCCAGCCTCTGGACCACTTTTTCATTGGCTTGTGGGAGCACGTGACATGATGCCTCCTCCAATCACCAGCAAGC